AAAGTTGCCCCCCCCTTGGTGACATGAACCCCATGGTTCCAGAGAGGACAGTGAAGGCAAACAGTGGTAAAACCCCAGTCCCTTCTGCCCTGTAACTTCCTTTATGTTGAAGTGAAGGGGAAAAGGAAGGCCACTGAATCCACTAGTCAATTTATTTGGTGATCTTAAATCTCATTGCATGAGATATAACAAGTCAAAGAGACCATAGAAATGGCTACAGAGACAGAGACCAAACTTCGACAAGGAAGAGATTGTGGGAGAGAGTGCATTCTCTTTCTGGCCCTCACCTATGTCCTGTCAGACAACAGGAAAGGCAGTAGCTTTCATTCATGTCCACTTGGCTGCAGAACCAAAAAAAGTCGTAGACAAAGAGCAGACAGTAAGAGAAGGCCACATTACTGAAAGACTACAGAACAGCAGACCTTAGGCCAGGTGGAAACCAGAGGACGTAGGACTGCTCAGAACACTGGGGAACAGAACAGCAAGACAATGGAAAGTCAGTGAACAGAACCATATGGAGGGACAGAACCAGCATATCAGCATGGCATACACGAGTGTGTGACCCACAAACAGAATACTTGGGGACTCAAAACTGCCCGCTTGACGGATATGAAACAACCCCTCTCATAGATGGGACATAAAGATCCCCAGCAAGTTAGCAGCCAAGGACCAAAGGAGCTGATCCACAAAGTTTATTTGTGAGGTTGGGAGGTGGAGAGGGAGAGGGTGGGTATTTGGGAAATGGAGATGAGTACAATGCTGATGGGGGTGGTGTTGAAATTATGTGCATGAGAAACCATTATGAATGATATTGTAAACCACAGAACCTCAACCAATAAAAACATTAAAAAAAACTACCTGCTTAAAGCTCTTATATATAATATCATTAGCATCTCAAGTTTTGCATGCTAGGATTACACACAATTACACAAGCACCCATACTCTATGACCTCTAAAACTATTTTCTACTTTTATTTTTTATTTTCCACTGGTGTGTGTGTGTGTATGTGTACATGCGCGCATGTGCGTGTGTGTGTGTATGAGTGTGTGTGTGTATGTGTGTGTGTGAAATCATTGTTCTTACACCTTCTGTCATTCTTTAGGTTTACCTCAAATAGATTGTTTACAAGTTTGTTCAAATTTAAGAACGGAAGAAACAGAAGAGAAGTTGGTATTTCAGCACTGCATATGGGGCTTGGAATTGCCAAACATTTGGAGATGGAGGTGGAGATCTTACATGTTTATTCTGTAGCAAAATTACAGAGAAGGACAGAAGCCTGGTCACCAAATGTGCTGAGCTAAACTCTAGATGGGAAGTTTTTATTTGTTTCTTTGTTTTCTTTCAAGTGGTAGAAATTTGACTACTGGGTCTTTTGTAAATGGGATGAGTAATGAAGGATTGGTTAGAGTTAATTGCAAAGCTTCTCCACCAAACCCCAATGTATATACTTATAGACCTCTTTTTTTAGAAAAAAAGTACATGTGATTTAAATGTATATCATTATATAAATTACATAAAGCATGCATATATTATAATAACATATGTCTGTTAATGTTCAAAATGTTATAGGCATGAATTATAAACATAAGTCTCTCAGAGTGTTTTCAATTTCCTCCTACAGAGAACTATCTTTTCAGACTTTTTTTTTAATCCCCTGACATTCATCTAGCCATCCACATACCAATCTCTAAACAAAATAAGGGAATGGACAAAGTTAATGAGAAACATTAAAAACCCCACATTTAAATGTTCATTTCATTATTTTTCCATCTGTTCGGTAACTTGTTTTGCTTTGATTTCTCTCTTTTGAAATGGATGATTGGAGGCATACTTCTGACTCAAGATGATTAGTAAAACTTGATTTCCTGAGCATTTTAAACACTCATCCCAATGACTTGACTTGCCTCACTGATGAACTACTACAAGAACATATTCCATTTTGCAATACGAGTGCGAGTCTATCACATCACTTGGAGGGATACTTTGAAAGTTTGAATATGCTCATTATTTTATGTGCTAAAGAATTACACCCTCGAAACATTCAAAAGTCTATCTTTATGCTTGAAACCTCTAAAGAAAGCATGATTTTAATACTGCCATTTGTCGGTGTGATGATCCAGAAACTCTAGGGTCAGCATGATTTACTTAATTTCATGCCATTATCTCTTATTTTACTCACATTAATCTAAGTAATTCTTCTACCACCTCCAGCCAGTCCTAGAAGTGTTCTCATTCCAATTAAGACTTTAAAGTGTTTTTAAACTGTCATTTAGCCATATTACACCTTAATTGTTTGTGTTACTCTTCCATGAAATGTTTCCAAATGGTTTTTACTCTGCCTGAGGGGATGGAAAAGGTCTTCCTCTAAGTTCATCAAGATATGTAGAATTATTTGATGAATCATAATGACCAGTAGGGCTTCTTCCAAAGTTTTTGTTCTAGTTATATTTGATCATGAAACTGAGCTAAAGATCCATATTAGATAAGGACAATTGCCCAGAATTCAATATTGAAGACAAGAACAATTTATCTGTTTGCTCTTCCCAATGTCTAACCTTTTGTTTAGTTTTGTAGATAAGACACACTATGCTTGAGGGGACCAAGACAGAAGTGGATTCTATTGTTCATTTTTGTGTCCACTGGCCTACCACCATCCTTTCTTCCCTGCCCTTTCCCTATAAGGGCCACCTTATTTTGGTGATCTTGCAAACAGTACGGTTGCTTGGAGGACATGAATCTACCATTTTACCTATCTGCCAGCCTGTTGCCAATAAAAAGCTTTCTGAATCCATCACCATGTTGGTCATCTATTTGCATTTTGGCAATGGAATCTGACATTCAAGGCTATGATATGATGAAGGTGGAGTGGAGAGAGGGAGGAGAACCAGGTAAACAAAAAGGTACAATCGATTCTCTGCAAGCTCACCTCCATGAAAGTAGTCAGTCAGCTAGATAAGTTGCAGGGAGAGCAACAATTCAAAAGAGAACATTTTCTCTCTTTAACACTACCCTCACACCAGACAGAGGGCAGTGCCCTGATGGAAGACAGGAAAGTCACCAACTCTCGCCCAGGTGCATGTAGACAGAGAATTGAGATAAAAAGACCAAGAATAGTAAGCACCAGCTGGGAAAGGCAGATAACAAAGCACCAGCAGCAGACACTGAGATACAGAACTAGAGGGAGTTCAGAGTCCAGTTCGGACGAAGGAGACCATGCATGGGCAATTGAAGAACAAAACCTGTGAGAAATAAACATTCAGCTTGGACAAAGAATGCAGGAAGAACCCAAGCTCTATTCTAGAAATTGATTAGTAAATAACTCCATAAACATCTGAAGTTTTGTCTGCTAATGTTACATATAGAACTCAAGGACCCAGGCTCAGGAGTTAGCAATTTTGTGGTAACAAAGTTGGATCACCCCAAAATGTGTGTGACAAAATTTAGTGGCAACTAAATGAACCCAAACTTCAACCCCATCCCCCTCCACCACCTAAACCAAGAATAAGAATTATTGCTGTGAGAGTTTGTAAGTTTCAAGATGATAAGAACTATTTTATATTAACTTTTAATTTGAATTAAGACTTGCATTCTCTTTTACAACATACTCTGGTATTTTTATCTGCTAATGATACTAACAGAAATCTGTGCTTTATTTTTTCCCTACTACCATGATTTTTCTTTGCGATCAGTAAGAATTCCTCCACATTTTTTTTAAATATACCAAACATTTCCAATAGATAAAACCAATTTCTTCAAAGATGCACAGAACTCCTTTTGGGTTCAGGGCACTCATACTAAATGATTCATGCTGTTTACCCTTTAGGAACACACAATGTGGTTTCCTTGACCAGAAGATTAGACTTATTAGAACACTATTTAATGGCACCTTTCAACTCCAATTCTGATCAGTTATTTTATAAGAAACTACTAACTGGTTTCTTCACTGCCAGTCTTGCTCATCCCCAAAGAGTCTCCAAAACTGTAACGTGATACAGCACAGGTCAACTGAAATCCATGCCTGCCTCTCTCTAAAGATCTAAAAGCCTGAAAGTCAGCATGACTTCTGCGTATTAGTATTAATTTTTTTCCCAGGTCTTTAGTTTCTCATGTGTAAAAAGCAGCAAAGTTCTAGTGACTTGTTTGAAATATCTGTAATCTATCTTTCTTATTCCTAGTTCTGAGGCTGCCAATACCTTAGGTCCTCTACTTACACCGGTGGGTTTCGAACCCTTTCACCTGTGACCTGCACCATTCATCAGCTAGAGACTGAAATCCACTGGGCTAAGCCTCCCATTCACCACTATTTTTCTCAGGCAAGATCTGAAGCAAGTTCGCATACTCCAACTACACTTTCTCTGTTCTTCCTCCTCTCGTAGTTCACAGATGTCAAAGCACAGGCAAAGAAAATCACCTAATTCTCTTTGGGGTTCTTCTAAGTTAATTTCTAACAGGTATGGCTGCTGCTGGAGGGGAGAAGACCCAGAAAAGCTGTGGAACTCATCACTCATGGGATTTCTGACATTGGCTCAAAAACCTCAGCTAACAATGGTTGTTGGGCATGGGAAAGGTCAGATGAAAAAATTGTCAAAGAATACTCCTGGAGTTCCTCCTTCTCCCCTCAAAAGGAGTAATTACTTTCTGCCTGATACCCTAGGGGAGATATTCTTAAAGAGGAACATTTCTTTGGAAAAAAATATTTTCAAAGTCATCCACCCTTCTGCCTTCAGAATTTCTCTCATGAAATTAACCCATTTTGCTAAAGACATAATTTGGGGTGGCTGTTTTCTGCTCCCCTCCACTAACCTTCCTAATGTTTCTGAAAAATAGCACACGTGTTTCTGACTCACAGTCTTCGCCTTTACGGTTTTATTGTGGTTGAATAGAGCATTGTGAAAGCAGGGATTTAACCCATCTAATCAGCAAACCAACTCAACCAATACTTAACATGTCATCAAAAAATGAATTAATGAATGGCATGGATGTCCTTTCTTTTTTTTTTCAGGGAATAGTGCAAATACAGTCCTCCACTACCACAAATTATGCAGTTGAGATTCCCACATTTGGGGTATAGTGAGGGTCAGCATATCTGGGGTATGATGGGTAAGTCTCACCCTGGGAAAAATCACCTTGGTGATCATGGCATCTCCCTAACCAGGTAAGTGTGATGAATGTCCATTTTCGCTTACTTGTCCAGACTGATTTTCAGAATTATTCATGATTCAAAATCTGCTTGATTTACTATTCAATAAAACTAAATGACATCATTTACTACTTAAACTTATCTAACACCTATCTGAATACTACATGTCAACACTGAGGCACAATACTACTATTGTATCCTATTTGTCTTTCTCAGAAGCAGAACAGGGTTTTATGAGGCTGAGATGTAGAGAACATGTCTTGCGTATAAGAGGCAGTAGGTTTGAACTCCAGCATCACCGTATGGTATATCCAGTACCACCACTTCTACCAACAACAAGACAAAAACCAAAACAATGGGGCTGGAGAAATAGATCAGTCAGCAGAACACTCATCTGGCACACAGCCAACTCATGTTCAATCTTTGCCACAACACAAGGTCCTCCAGCTCCACTAGAAGTAAACCTTGAGGATCACTGGATATGGCCCTCAAATAAAATAAAATAAATAAAAACAGTTTAGAAAATACCTGGCACAAAGAAATTAAGGGCAGGGTTTCTGCAACATACCTGAATAGTCTTGAACATGGAACCCATAAATATAATTGTTATGAATACACCAACCCAGTTTTTTCATGGAAACAAGATGTTCTTTTCAGCTTGTGGTTTTGTATTACGCACTTCTCATGTACATGCAAAAAATAAAATAAAATAAACGATCTAGACAGAACTTGCACACCACAAAAAGAACTGAAAATTTATTAAAGACCTACAAAAAAATAACCCAAAAAACAAATCGTGCAACATGCAGACAATAATTTGAGTAGGAATTTAAGATGACCTTGTGTATGGTGGTAACATTTTTTTTTGTACAAGATTAAAGTCAGAGTCCATAGAAGAAATAATCAATAAGTTGAATTTTATTAAAATTGCAACCTTCACTTTAGTTAAAGACAATGTCAAGAGAATAAGCAAGCCACTGACTGGGGAAAAAATATCAGCCAACAGAATGTTGGTCTAAGACTGCTATTCAACATATAGAAAGTACTCTAAAAGTTCACCAATATAGACAGACTCCATACAAAAAGTATGGGCAAAACACTTTAATGGACCCCTGTCAAAGAAGATACACATATAACTAGCAGGAATATATAACCCAGTCTCTGCATCACATATCATCAGAAAACCACATTAAAATAACAGTGAGCACCCACCCTGCTTATATGAGAATATCCTAAAGCTGAAATTGAGGAATGCTGGGGAGGAGATGGAGAAACAGTGGACTTTCCAAGTCAGTCACTGAAAGTGAGTTTGCTGACTTCTTATCAGAAAAAATAAAAGAAGAAAAGAAAACATATTCTTAATCTAAGGGCTGAATAATGATGTTCTTTCATATTTACCAAAAGGATCTGACTTATATTCATAGAAAAAACTAATATAGATGTTTATCATAGTGTGTTTTCTTGAATTTATTTCATCTTTAGGGTTCCTTGAATTAAACAAGGACTTTATGCATATCAGGAAAGTCCTCAGCCCTTAAAACAGTTTTATGCTTAATTGCACAATTGGGGGTAACAAAGGAGTTCATCATTTGGTTAATATAGTTTTCCCCATTCATTTTTTTTGTTTGGTTGGTTTTTGCTTTTTGGGTCACACCTGGCAATGCTCAGGAGTTCCTCCTGGCTCTGCACTCAAGAATGACTCCTGGCGGTGCTTAGGGGACCATATGGGATGCTGGGGAATGACCCAGGTAGGCCACATGCAAGGCAAACACCCTTCCCAATGTACTATCGTTCCAACCCCCTCCCCATTCATTTTGGCTTGGAGCCAACCCCAGGCTGTCCAGGGCTAATTATGACTCCATGTTCAGAGGCCTTATATAGTACTGAGGATCCAACAGGCTGATGTATGCGAGTGTCTTAGCTGATTTATAGTCTCTCTAGCCCATTAGGTTAATCATTTTTTTTTCATAAAGAAAAAAAGTTTTAGTATATTCGGACAATCTAATGCTTTTTCCTGGTAAAAAGAAACATACCATCAAGCCATAAAAAGCCAAGGAGGCCCCTCAGAGGCATGTCGCTATATGAAAGAAGCCAATCTGAAAAGGTTACATACTGTATTCTTCCAACCATTTGACATTCTGTAAAAGGCAAAACTATGAAGATAATAAAAATATCAGTGAATGCCAGGGGTTGGGGTGAGGAGGGGGATGAATAGGAGAATATAAAAAGTTTGAGAGCAGTGAAACTGCCCTGTAGGATGCTATTATCAGGAGCTTTGCCATTATACATTTCTCCAAATGCAGAGAATGGCAAACAACAAGAGTGAACTCTAATGCAAGCGAGGGGCTCTGGACGACTAACGTGCTCCAACGTAGGCTGAACAACTGGAAGAGATACACATCTGCCCTCGCACGTGGAATTTGAAATACACATACTCTCCCCTCAGTGTTGCTGGGAACCTAGAAATGCTCCAAGAAGTAATTTCCAAGAAAATATCAGTCTATCTCAGAAGAGTACACACAATATAGTTAGCTGTTTTTTTTCTTATCACCCGCTTCCTGTATCTCCTTGTGATGCCCAAATGGCAGTAGCCAAACACAGAGAATGTGGATGCTTTAGAGCTTAACTAACTCTAATTTGGGTTAGAAATGAGAAAAACCTCTACTGGAGGTTTTTCTCATGATCTCATTCATTGAAAGGCATCGAAACAACAAAATATAAATTCTGTTTTGGCCTATATGTGGTATATCTATAAAAGCCCTATGCAGGGCTAGAGACAGTACAGTAGGTAAAGCACTGACCTTGGACGTGGCTGATCTTGGTTTTATTCTGTCCCTAGGACCCCAGATTGTCCCCCAAACCTTGCCAGAAGCAATCAGGAGTAAGCCCTGAGCAGAGTCCTATGTGGCCCCAAAACAAAAATAAAAACAAAAACAAATCTAATATATATATATAGTGTATATATATTTTAATAAATGAATAAATATACAAATAAATAATATATTAATGTATATTAAATAACTATTAGTAAATAAAGTTCTGTGGACAAAAGTGAAATGAGTAATAGGGGGGAAAAGTAAGAAGTGGTTTCTTGGAGCAAAAATGACCATTTGTCTTTGAAGTTTTCTTTTTTTAAGTAAAATAAAATAAAAAGAAAAATGAGATTTGGATTTTTGGTTGGTACGTAGTTTGGTTTGGACTCTTAAACTATGTAAAGAATTATTCAACAAAATTTTCACATTTTTATTGGAGTCTATTTGAATTGGGTTAGGCAATTTCCAATTTAATGCATTCTGATGAAAATACATCTCAAGGTTTAAATTCTATACATATAATTTTAATAAAATTAATCTCAGAAAAAGTTTCAAAAGCTTGTCTTTTAAAAAAGAAAAGAAAAGTATGAGCATAAAACTTTCAACTCTTTGAAAGGTTTACTTCATGCTAATGAAACAATTTGAGTTTGAGCCAAAGGTGGTTTGAAATGTAGTCTACCTTCAAAAAACATTCTCAGCGTGATCATTTGGAAATGTAAAAGCCATTCAATTCCTGTCTATTATAATTTTCCCGTTCTTTCTCAACACCTTGTAGCTTTTATTTCATATAATACCATGAGGTGAAACTTAAATCAGAATGTGCGAAAAGAGTGATGAACATTTAATATCCTGAACTTTAGACACCAAGATTTTGATTACTTAGACTTTCTTGTTCCAATTCCTTCTCCCTATGCTTTTTTTTTATCTATTCATAAACAACCAAGAGTTGAATATACTTTCTTCATTGGTGTTATCTGATTTTGGGGCACCTAGCTGTGTTCAGATATCACTCCTAGCAGAGCTCAGGGGACCATATGAGTTGCGTGGGAATAGATCCCAGCCTGGCTATGTATAAGACAAGCAGCTAATCTGCTGAAAAATAAATCAATACATAATGTTGACTGAATGAACAATAATAGGAGAAAAGTATCTTTCTGTCTTTTTTCTACTAAATAATAGACATAGATTAAGCTGAAAGTCAATTTATTCTTCTAAACAATAAAAGAATATTTGATTCTCTTCATATTCAATCATCACTTAAAAAAATTCTTGTCATTCTAAAAATTATACTTCTACAGCTATAGGTGACCAAACAGACTCAATTATTACTAGTTAGTATTGATTCATTTGATGATCAATACTAATCTGTACGCAAATAGTCTTCTGTTTTAAATGCAAAGTCAGGTGTCAGGGGACTTAGGTGCTCAGGTACTTGTGAGAGGGCCTGCCCTGAAATTCCAAGGTCGTTAGATATATCCCTCTCAGCACCCTCCATGCCAAGAGCATGACAGATGACAGGTCTTTGAGATTCCTAGGACCTAGGACCACAACGGAATGTGTGACCTTAGTGTATCACAATCATGTGTGTGCAAGCACCACAACCTAGTGTTCAATGCCTGGTGAGAACCACAACTAAATGAAGGGTGTTTCTATTTCAATTCTGTGTGTGTGACTCCAAGTCACTGCACAACATCAAAATTACCCCAAACTGGAGGAAGCAGAAGGGGATACAATGCTAAGATATTGTTAAAAAAATAAGAAGTCCTAGGTCCAATATCATTCTATAGTTGTTTTCTAGTTAAGAGGTAAGACTAACTAATATTTTGCAGTTAACAGAAACTACCAGATTTTAGGAAATTCATTTCAAACAGAAACAGGCAAATGTAGAATTCAAACTCAGGGTCTCATAGACTTTAGTCTTTTGTAATCAATATCTGAATTATCATTACTTAGTTTAAAATTAAAATTGGGGTTATGTTAACTTGTATTTAAAGTATATTCAGGATATTTGGAAAACACACATATGGACCAACACCATCAAATGACTATTTCTAAAATGTTGCTCAATAGATATCATTTTGGACCATGGAGATTGGATCATACCTGATTGTGTTCAGGGTTTACTCCTGGCTCTGACCTGGCAGATGACTCCTGGCTAGGATTGGGGCTCTATGGGATGCTACTGATGGAATCCTGGTGGGCTATGTGTA